GAAGTCATTTGCGACACCTTTGCAGAATCTCTCGTAACTACCGACTAAAGTCAAGCAGACGCAACAACAACGGTGGGCAAACGATCCGCCTTGTGCCTACTTCTACTTCTTACTGCAACCAGCTCTACTACTAACCCTAAACCCTAAACCCTAAACCCTAAGTATACCTTTCAACCAAGACGCTTGCAGCTCTGGGAATCTCAGGCTTTTCTCTGCATCTCGGGGCGCCCTCGTGCGGCACCGGTCTTTCGGACCTAACCCTGCGCCGGATACCCTTTTTTTAAGTTTAGGGGTTTAGGGTTAAGGGTTTTGGGACTCAAGATTTAGGTTAAGGTTTAGGGCTTAGGGTTTAGGGTTTTGGGACTCAAGATTGAGGTTTTGGGATTCGGGATGTACTAGGCTTTTCAGCTAGCCCCTGGGACAAGTATAGACTTTTGTGGATCAACCATAACATAATAGGAGCCCAGAGACAAGAAACTAAGAGCATAGCATATCACTAAACAACCTCGCTTAGCTGTTTAGCTTCAACATGTCACGGGAGAAGTTAGAATCAATGCATCCCTAAACTCCTAAACCCTGAATAAACACTGCTATGGCCCCTAAATCCTAAACACTGCTACCGGCCTGCATCCTTCACCGTCATCCGGGTCAGATGTTGGCATGGGCTTTGTGGCACAGAAAGCGGAGAGCCTGATTTCGAGCTTTAGCGCTTTAGCAGGTCAGGACTCAGGGAGTATTCTGTCAGAAACACCTGCAGCTTGCATCTTACAATCATGAAAGCCCCACCGCTGCTGTGACCGGGCAATGGGATTAGCAGTTTTGGTTGGGGTGTTGCGGTTGGGATGCTTAGCATCCCGCAGCATGCATACGGCCAATGATTTCTTTTGCTCCATCACCGCAGGTGTGTCAAGAGGCTATCATTTCAGGAGTCCTGAAAGCTGTGCACACGGAGTCACGCAGAACCTCAAGTGCCGAACCCCTCAACCCTAAACCCTACATCGACCAACCGAGGGACCGGTAGAACCGGTAGAAGTTGTCCCAGAGAGAAACCGTTGCCCAATCTAGACAGGGTCGCACATGATCGAGGATGCTGATTCAGCACCTCGGGGTTGCAAGATCCTCCAGGTTCTACGATTGGGGCCTGCAGGTTCGCAGGCTGCAAAGGGTGCCAAGTCAGAGCCAGGTTGCAGGGCAGCTCTGTTCGTGCCACCCCCGGCCGCGCGACATGCTGCATTGCAGCCAACAGTTGGCACTGCAAGCGGCATGCTAGAGGTAAAAGCCATCTAAACAGCTTTGTGCACTTTTTAGTGACTTTTGTATCAGGAGCCAATGTGGTACGATCAGCCAATTTCAAAATCAACGTCTGAACCTGGCAGACAACACAGCTCAGATAACTTGGTAATCATAACTTAAGTGAACCCTAAACCCTAAACCCTAAACCCTGAACCCTAAACCCTTAAAAGTGAACATGAAAGGCTGTACAACCACAGGGCTGAAAAAACTGGAAGGAGCCAAGGAATATCCGGCTCCAAAGCACTCAAGGCCCCTAGGCCCCTTTCAAGAAGGCTAATGTAAGGGCCTTAATCACTAGAATAGGATGTTGGGGTTATATTACACTATAGTTATAAAAGGGAACCCCCAAAAATAGTGCAGGTAATTATTTAGGCCCCTGTATTCGCACCATCATGTACGTCTCGGATCACTGTTCCCGCTCAGGGCATTGCCCAAAGTCTCAGAGCTGAACCACAACTCCTTGCATCAATGCTCGCTGCTGGTCAAGCTCAGATCTTAACAGATCCAGCTGTGCATCCACCGTGGTGGGAGATGTGCTCGGAAAGTATTTGACCTTCGAAGGACAATCATAGACTGCGACACAAGCTTACTGCTCCATGCTTGGAGGTCCTAGCAGAGAACCATGCTCGTTTAGAAGACTATTCAGCTGCTTACCACCGGACTCAACCGATATGAAGATGACAGGAACAAACACAGACAGGTGGCGAGTGCAAGCAAAGGTAGTCGAGCTAGGATGCGGTTGAGCTTGCTCAGGTCACGCTGGGTGATGTCTTTGAAGGCGTGTTGCTCATCCGAGTGGAGTTCCTGCGCGAACACGAGCAAGAGACTTGCCGCCTTCTCTGTCAGCTCAAGCTTCTGAAACTTTTTCTGGATGTGAGGGATAAGAAGAGTCCTAACATCTTCCTCCCGCATGGCTTGCATGAGCTTGCGCTGGGCTTTTTCCATCTTCACAGGAACTGTGCGGTGCGCGTCGTGGCAAAAACGGCACGCAGACCCGAGAGAGCAGGAACCACCCTTCGCGATGTGCACGCAAGGCCGCTGGCAAAGCTGTGGATGTCCCAAACTGCCATGGGAAGCCGGCAAGAACTGGATTGAATCGCCCAGGTGCTCAACATATGCAGCCGAAGGCGAAGAAGAAACAGAGACCATGTTTGGCTCAACGATTCCGTGTCGTGACGCGGTCAAGTTTTTGAGCCGGTACTGCCAGAATGTTGAGAGCTTTTGTCTTTGATACCAGATGGAAAGATTTCACGAACTCTACACGGCATCGAAGATCCTTGCAGACATCTAGCAGTGTAGCAATGGCTTCAGGCCTTTGTAAGTAGGGTTTCGGGTGTTGGGGTCAAGCATACTACCGTGATAATCAGGAACTTGACTGAGTGCTATTACTAGTTAATCCCCCTCCGCTCACTGTTTCAGTTGGGAGACAAAAAAGGTCAAGAGGCTCTTATATCGTGTTCTGACGCGGGTGTCCCCTTGACATCTCTATTAATATGATTATAGTCCACTGAAGTATAGTAAAATGGACCCCCAAACCCTGTACCGTCAACCCCAAAATCTGTCTTGGACCAATAATTAAGGCCCAATATTAGCCCGGGGACGCCTTCAGCACGAGCAGGTTTTCGAGGCGGCAGCATCTGATCCACCTGCACGATACTATACTATAGTATGTTATACGATACGATACTACACTATACTATATCATCTTCTACTCTGTTGTGTGCTACTAGTATGAGCTGATATAATCTGATATGATCCTAAACCCTAAACCCTAAATCGTTGGTATAACCTGATATGGTATGTGACGCAGAAGGCTGCGGCGCACTTAGGCCCGGCGAGCGGTGAACCAACACCTGCTCACCGGTTTAGGGTTTAGGGTGTAGGGGCTAGCTGACAGCGTAAACGCCAACTGGTTTGGTGCTTGGGCCCACCCAAGCCGTCTAAGCCCTAGAGCCTGACTAGGCGCCTCTATCACTATTAAGTCGAAATATTAGTATTAAGAATAAGTTGCTCTGTGTAAAGTGAGAGTTTCTCGGTTGTGCCGCATTGGGAGGGTTTAGGGTTTAGGGCTT